CGGGTAGAGTATTCCAGACATTGACCACTCTATTGTTGAAGTCGTATTTCCTGCAATCAAGTTTGGTGCGGTTAACTTTGAGTTTGTATCTATTGTGTGCTCTTGTGTTGTTATGGTTGAAGCTGAAGTATTCATTGTCAGGTAGGACATTGCAATGTATGATTTTATATACCATGCTTAAATCAGACCGAAGACGGTGTAATTCAAGGTTTTCTAGTTCTAGAATTTCAAGTCTGGTGGCATAAGGTATTCTACAACGAGTAGAGGAGTGGAGAACTCTTCTTGTGAAATATTTCTGGACTATTTCTGGATCTTGCGTTCATGGTTTTGTTTCAGAATTGATATGGAAACCAGACAGCTTTCTCACCCAAGAAGCTCTTTATAATTAACTTCACAGGCTTTAAATCAGTTTTACAAAACCTTAGTATTTATAAAGCTTTCTAAAAGAAACTTTAAAATCACCTCTTTGTTGTAGATTACAAAAAGATCTTACAAAGCTGGAAAAATGTGATTTTCTTTCTTGTTAAACAGACTAAAGAGAATCCTGCTCACAACAGTTAAACTTGTTGCTTCAAAGGTTTTTTCAATCTTAGAAGAGCAATAAGAAAAGTAAAACTCCAAAGTACTTACAAAAAAATTCCAAATCAAAAAAAGTGATTACACAAACCTTCAATCCTAAAAAGGTGAATTTATAGCTCAGAGAATGATGGAACCTGCAACTTCCAGCTGATCACAAGAGTGGCTGTAAAAATAATAGGTTTTGCTATCTGCTCACCAAAACCAGCTGTTTGAAGTACATATAGATAATATAAATTTCCAGAGAGAATTTTGGCAGCCTGGACCTTGCATCTTGTTGCCAATTTCCACTGAAATGCCCTTGAAGAATTATGTATATTTTCCAGCTTGCTCTTCATTCACTTGATTTGTTTTAAATATTTACGAGATCTATTTACCCAGAACAGTGATTCTTAGCAGAATTTTGGAATTGAAAGTCCACATATCTTCAAGTTCTTCAAAATCTTCTAGAAGAGTACTACATTCCTTTGCTGGCAACACCAGGCTTGAGATTTTGGGCTTGGACAACCTTGAACTATGCCACTTACGGTTAGACTTAAGTGTAGCACACAAAATTATCTGCTACAATGTCCTACCAGTCAATGACTACTTCAGCTTCAACCACAACAATACAAGAGCGTACAACAGATACAAACTCAATGTAAACCACTTCAAACTCGATTGGAGAGAGTACGACTTCAGCAACAGAGTGGTCAATGCCTGGAATGCACTACCTGACTCTGTTGTTACATCCTCTAACCCCCACCCCTTTAATCTCAAATTATCTATTATTGACCTCATCCCATTCCTAAGAGGTCTGTAAGGGGCGTGCATAAGTGCATCATCGTGCCTACCATCCCTGTCCTATTGTCCCCATTTATTTGTACCTATTTCCTGTATTCTTACTCATGTTTATACTTATACCTATTATCTTGTAAGTGATTGACAAATAAAATAAAATAAATAAATAAAAAGTTACCAAGATTGAGAAACACTGATCTAGTATATTCAAATAATGCAACCATTTCATGGGATTCATTGTCAGTTGTACTTGAGGCCTACCTATAAACACACTAGAAATGAGTTTCTATTTATCTGTAATTTGTGTTGGAAGTTGAATTCTGGGCTTGTTCTTCCAGCCAGGAAACGAGCGGTAGAAATGTCGCCTGAGCAGAAGTGAAGAGATTGAAGTCAGCTGCTTGAAAGGAAGTTCGGTTCATTCAGAACTGAAGTGACAGACAGCGTTCAGTTCTGGGACAGCTGACAAAAGGATCTGGTGAGTGGATGGGTTTTGATGTGGTTCTGGAGGTTTGAGATTGTGATATCTGGGTCCATTATACTATAGAATTAAATGTGTGTTGTTTACTATTGTAATTGTGATGGCTTGGCTCCTATTATAGTTGAGGGGTCATGTCCTGCCCTTCAGGTTAAGTGGGGGGATATAGATTGAAGTGTTATTGTTCATGTTTTCATCCATTTAGTCTTTGGCTTCTTGTAAAACCTTCAGCTGGCAATGTTCTATTTATGAATAGGCTACAACTGGCTGTGCTTTCTCCTCCTGAATGGAACTGTTCCGAATAGGAACTGTTCCGAATACTTGGTATCCGCTCTCAGTAAGCACTCTGCTTATGTGAATTGATCCAAAGTATCTCATTGACTTGTTGTGACTTGTTGTGAAAAAGTGCTTTGGGCTACTTTCTTAGTCAGCAAGAGGGTGCTGCTTAATTTTTATTTTGTGGGAAGTTTTTCTGTTTTTTGGGGTGGTTTTCTTCCTACTTGTTGTCCTTTGGGGGGAGGCTCCCTACCTATTGCACAAGTAAAAAGTATTGGACAAGTGCAGTTACTACTACTATCACAAAGATGCTGTTCAAAAGGCAACTGGACTTTCTTATTTTTTTTTTCTTGAAAACATTTCACTTCTCACCCAAGAACTGAAGAATCTTCTTGTATGAGAAGTGAAATGTTTTCAAGAAAAAAAACACAAGAAAAACCGATTGGTGTTTTTGAACAGCACCTTTGGGACAACCATGACCTGGATTATTGAGAATATCCATAGACATTTACTACCATCACATATTCATAATTTAAAAAAATAGAAAATGTGATTATTATTGAAATGGTGGTGGTGGGGAGATGTGTTTCCCAATTTTCATAGTTAACTTCTTTTACTTGTTGTATTGATGGTTTTTTCCTTCTGATTTGCTCCATCAATTGCCATTTGTGATACCACTCCTACCAATGTGTCACCCTATTCATATTGGACTCCCTGATGGATATCTGTGGGCTGGGCTGGTTAATATTAAAGATGTCTGGCCCAGGCACACATCCCTTTGTCTGTACAACTCAAGGCAACTACATTCCCAATTTTAGCTACATTTACATCATTGGAATACCTCTTAGATATAAGCAAATAACACACCTCCCCCCTTCAACAATATTATGCGTGCATGTCCTGGTTCTTGTGTTTCTAGGCCAGGATAATCAATAATATATTTTTATTTCCAACATACAGTACAATAGCAAATGGTATACGTTTTGCACAAAAAGATTTGCTTTCTGTAGGTTTCAGGTAATAATTGTATACAATGTCATTTACAGATATAATATTGGTCTCTAATGAAGTTATATTAAATTTCAGTCACTTCTTGAGCAAATTAGGAACTGATATGGTAGACCAAAGTCTATGTACAATTTAACTTTGTCTATGAGCATGAACTATACAGCAAATCAAAGTACACAGATTAAAAAAAACAACAGGAAGAACATAAAATATTTATTTTCATTCTCAGATCACACACCCAAGAGATATTTTTTTACAGGCAGGAGCATGTTTGTTTCTTCTGTGCATTAATAGATTAAAAAAGATTTAAGGAACAAGAAGGAACATAGATAATCCAAAGTAACAGTTGACAAACTTTGCACCCCTATATAAGCTTTGAGATTTATTTTTTAATGGTGAGATGCCTGTTCCATGTTGGATCAAAAAATCAACAAGAACATTTACGTTGGGTCTCCTCATCCCTCCCCCTCAAATCTTGACTTCATTTTATAATACCACCATTTTTACAAAAGCAGAGTTGTATATCACTGGTGTTTCACCTAACCATGTCATGATACATTTCCTGTGGTGGTTTTATACTCTTTTAGGGTATTAAAATCTGCCAAGTAATCTGGAATATATAGCTAGACCAAAGTGATGGTTAATATATCATTGGCAACAGGGTGTAATGACTAAATAATTTGGGACTTTCCATCTCAGTAGAAACCTAAGACACTAAGATTGGAATTCCTACACTTGAATCTCCTAGTAAAATTTGCTAGGCTAGTTACATATGAGATAGGGTCTTTTCTGTGGTGGCAGCAGTCCTTGTACAATGTCCAGTTATCTGTGGATAGTTTCTTCTTTGCTAGCATCTATGGGTGACGGGGAGACATAATACACCTCCCCCTTGAATAAAGTGTTAACAAATTCTTGTTAATCACAATAGAAAATCATACTTACATCAGACAGGAATGGTACTTTGCCACTTGTCTATTTGGGACATCCCATTCTTCATAAGATTGGAAGACTCAAATTTAAGTTCAAATCTTATCAATACTTGAACCTGGAAAAGAAAACTCACCTGATTCTCAAAAGAGGGTGGGGGAAGACAGAAAACCTATCATTCATAACCCTTTCAGTTTGTCATTTATTCGGCCAGTTCTCCCACTGTCTTTTACGAAATCCTGTGAAATCCCCAGATATATCTGAAACATAAAATATTCCCCCTTTTTAAAACTTGGGGACACCTAGTGTTAATGTCTACAGGTCCAGTTCAGAAAGAATGTGTACCTTTGGCAGAGTGGTGTCATGCCTTCAATGGTGCCATTGATAACTGTCATTTTCAACTGTCACAAAGCAGACTGCCTGCAACATTCCAGATGGCTTGAATGTTCTATGCAATTCACATGGTCGGCTAAGTTGACCCATTGTTTTTGCCATGAGCTGTAACAATTATCTGGAATCTCCATTTATTAAGACCATAAACTGGAATGTGGGATCTACTCCGTGCCCCAATACCTTGACACGTTTTGCCACACTCAGGAAAGCGTGGGGGGCGGGGATGGGAACGGAATCGGCCAAACCCCGAAATTGCAAGCATTAAGAAGCCAACTTTTCAGATCAGTCGGGAGAGAAGGCAACTTCAGATTTAGGACGGACACGGGTGACATCTACCGGCTTCACTCTTCTTTACCAATTCATGCGCTTACTCTTTCCTCTCTGGTGGCTGCTATTTAAGGGTGAGCGGGGAGCAAAGGGGAGCGTGGGGGGGGGGGGGGTCCGGTTTGGCTTCGTCTTCCTGGCAGCTGTCCCGCTCTCGGATCGCCTTTTTCCCCGCTGGGCTGATTTCAGGCGCTGATGAAGACGCGTCTCCTTGGCCATACGAGCAAACTGGTCATTCCAGTAAGGAGAAAACCTCAGGTCACCACGCCGAGAGTTCCACCTTCGTCCTCTCGCAAGAGGGCTGGCTTTCTTAATTGCCTTTCTTCTTCCTAATTTTCACTTTGCCGGTTCTTGACAGCGGGACCGCCTTCATCGACTCTTCTTCCTCTGCCCTATGTAGGCGGGCAGGCGCTTGGACGACAGGTGCTTCGGACACTGAGACGGCCTTGGCAGCTGAGCTTCTCACGACTCCTCCGATCGCGCCATGAAAAAGGCTGGCTTGGACAACCCGGCTTTCCAGACTTCCAGTCCGGATCTTCTCGACCCTTCCGCGACCCCGTCTGCCTTGCAGTCGCCGAGTTTTGACCCGGACGACCAACTCTGCGGGATCGGCCGATGCACTCCTCGCGCCCTGCAGGTCTGCAACAACGCCAAAGGCTACCTGGTCTTCTACAGCCTCCTCTCGGTCTTCCAAGGTAAGCAGAGACCCCATTCCGGGGACGGGACTTTTCATCAGGAGTATTGAGTTATCTTGGCGACGTTAGTGTTCCACTCTCCAGCTCTCTGTCCCATCGAATAGGAGGATTTAAGGACGGAGGAACCCCACCTCCGAGACGCTGCACCCCTGAACTAATTCCACAGGCTTTTTAACGGTCAATTCTGCTGCTGATCTAACTTATGCCTAACTTGAATGCCTAACTTGAATGCCTTCCTATCTGTTATGATGATTCCGGTGCGTTGTCAAAATAATTAGGAGTAATAAAAATACACAGAGTGGAACAAAATGAAACCCAAGACTAAAATTAACCAGCAGTTAAGGTCCTGTGGAAGAGGTTCATCTTTACAGGCATCCCAAACACAAGGCAAGACTCATGACCCAAGTTATCCATTGGTGGCCCAAAAGTGACTTAGGAGAAGCCCTCAGCCTGTGTGTCACATAACCAGCCTCTGGCTGGGAGCAGGGGTGCATCAGCTTGTGAAGTCTGAAGGGGCAGAATTAGCTGCTTTGGTCCTAAACCGCTTATAGATTTAAGGATTAGTGCAAACATTAAATTGTGTCTGTTAAAAATCAGTTAACCAACACATATCTTTCAGTGCAAGGATCATACATTCCTTGCACTTTGCACTTTGGCAACTCAGCTGGCTATTTGTCATTCATTTGTAACTGAGGGATAATTTTCAAGGTAACTTGGTGTAGAACCCACAGCAGTAAACTAAGGAGTGTGTGTGTGTGTGTGTGTGTGTGTGTATCTGTATATATATGTATGTATATACACACACACATACACATAGACATACGCACACAAAGTCACAGATAACTATTGGATGAATTTGGACAGCTGCAGCTTGCTGCACCAATTGTAATAGTTTTGGTGCTCTCTTCATGGCTACCATCGGAGAATCTAGTGACAGGTGAAAATCAAAGAGGGTCCCAGGCTCCAGGTTTCATTTTCTCCAGGAAGTGTGATTCCATCTAAAACCTCTGAACCTTAATCTTTAAATTGAACTGCTTGCGAGCTGCCCCTGCCTGGATTTAACTTCAGTTTATTCTTCCTTATCCAACCCATTTTGTAATGTAGACAGCATTAAGATAGTACAGATAGTCCTCGAGTTACGATCACAATTGAGCACAACATTCATGTTGCTAAGTGAAACATTTAAGTGACTTTTGCCCCATTTTACGATATAATGATGAGTTTATTTTTAATCCTGCCTTTATTATTTTTATAAATAACTCTAGATGGAAAACAAACCTAATGATATTTCCTTCTCCTAGTTTCTCCACAACAACAACCCTGTGAAGTGAGTTGAGGTGAGAGAGAGCGAGTGGCTTAAAGCTATTAAGTAAATTCCATGTCTCAAGTGGGACTAGAACTCACAGCGTCATGGTTTCTGGCCTGATGCCTTAACCACAAGACCAGATTAATACACTTTTAGCATAGTTATGTAAATACTAGTTTTTTTCTAGTAATGATGGAAAAAGGGAACTCCCAGATTATCATTAAAAAAAGCAAGTAGAAATAAGTAATAAGATAAATTGGTCCTAAATGGAAAAATCCAGTTGTTCCATTTTTATAACCTTATCACTTTTCTCTCAATATATTTTGCTAAAAAAAAATGAAAAGAAATATTCTTTGTGCATTAACAAGAAGTAATTGCAAATAATTACTATCAGTTTGAGACAATTGTCAAAGAACCTGACACATAGTCTTTCTGATCTACCTTCTGGACATGATCCAATATTCCAAGGATTGGAACTATTGTAAAACATTGCCTCCAATATGTAGCCATTAATTAATCCCTACTATCTGATCAGAAGAAAGGATGCTGTGGTACCATCAGTGTCCATGAACGATAATATCATTGCAATCGTTAACATGCTGATGTTGTACTTCTATTGCTGCTTTCTATTCCACTGTACACAGGATGATACAATGTCAGGCCAAGAGCTTTGAATCCATTTTTTACCACTGGCCTTTGGTTATTTTCAAGCACAGACTAGGCAGCAATATATCAGTTTTAATTCTTCCTATACAAAAGTAGAGATTGGTGGACTTACTGTCCCAGTTCCGCAATTTTATAGAAATGGAAACAGAATGAATGTTACAGTCCTGCTTAATAGGACTCTGTTTCATAACTATCAAGTGCTTATTCATTACAAGTGGATTTAGACTGCGGTGTTAATGTAAAATATACAATTGTTTCTTATTCAGAAATACGAGTAAGAGAAAGCTCTCCACCCTCAAAAAAGCACTTCTTAACCTCTTGACCTGTCTTTTCAAACAGTTCGCAATATAAAGTGATCTTGAGTCAGTGGTGGGATTCAATTTTTTTACTACCAGTTCTGTGGGCGTGGCTTGGTGAGCGTGGCAGGGGAAGGATACTGTAAAGTCTCCAGTCAGAGGTAGTATTTGCTGGTTCTCAGAACTACTCAAAATTTCCGCTACTGGTTCTCCAGAACTGATCAGAATCTGCTGAATATCACCTCTGTCTTGAGTATATTATATTACATGATTATTTTATAAGCCACTGTATATTAAAACAAAAAAAATCACACTGGAGAGATGTGTTCACTGGCTTTCTGTGGTTACCACATGCAGATGTGATGAAACTAGTGTAGGCTGGTGGTATGTGGCAATCACCTTAAAGGTGGAGCATTGTCTTGTGGAAGAGAAACCAGAAAATTGTCAGCTTTGTGTTGAGATGATGTGTAGGCCCTTGAAGTCTCTCCTGATCCCTTTGTCTACTTCTAAAGTGAGATTGAATGCTTGACCGTCTTCTTCACCAGGCTTCTCCCATCTTATTTTCTATGGCAATGAGATGGCTTCCGATATTAGGCACTCCTGTGCTATGAGGTAAATTGAGAGGTGTGTTTTATAAGAAGAATTTCAGATCTGAGTGCTGCTTTACTGCATTTTGCATCACACTTTTTAAGAATGTCATGAATTGCTTCATAGCCAGATTTTCTAGGGCGGCTTACAATGGTAAAGATTTCATTTCAGTGAAATAATACAACTCGGCACATAATTGTTTTCAAACATAGCATGTATGTTCCATCATTCTATATGTTGGTTGTTGTTTTTTAAGAGTAGGGCTTTATATCCAGGAATGGACTAGGTATAAAATTTTGTAAGAAAAGAAAATTTATAAATTTCCCAACAGTTTAAAGGCAGCTATTTTGATAGTAAAATCTGACTGGAACAAACAAAGGGGAAAGATTTTCTTTGATCAAAGAACCCCATAGAGGTAATAAAACAAAAACTTTTATTGATCTCCTTGTTTTTCTAGTCTCTTAACTCCTGTGCAAAAGTTTCTGTTTCCTTGACATGAAGAGAAATTGTCACTGCAGCAAGAGGAGCTTTATACCCTATGTCAACTTGCCATAGTTTGGTAAAATGTGCCTAATGATTTATGTACATTGATTCTGATGTATACTGAGATCAATTACACAATCTGTACATCTAAGTGTACAGATTACATGGGTGGATAGCCTACTCATACATGATTTGTGTGTGAAAAGATAGACCCAGTGAAATCAAAGGGACAAATTAAGTTCAACTAAGTGAATTCCCATGGGTTTGATGGGTTCCCTCCTCTGCTTCAATTCATAAATGAGGCTTTTATTCCAGCAAGAAACTTGTTCAGCAATGTGTCAAATGGTGTATCAGCTATTTTACCACACGATATGTAAGGAAGTAATGGGTGGATGACCTGAAATGTAAACTCTAGCTTTTACATTCAGAAGTAATAATGACAGTTGGGGTTTGACCAGAACTAAGCAACTGCTGTCCTAGTTATTTGATCCATCTAAATCTTCCAACGTGATAATTTGGATTAAATCAACTATAACTGAGATTGAAGGTTATGATTGCCAATGCTGATGATTTTGCATACAGTTGTTCAAATATTGCTATTGAAATAAAACTGACTTGAATAAAATGGAGTCAGAACTACTTGTTGAAGTATTCTAATTAAATAGGAAATAAATGTTTTTTTTTTAAATAATAGCAAGCGATTCTTGTTTGGATTCTATAGATTGGAGCCAGAATTAAACAATTAGAAATCAATGATTCAATTAGATCAGGTGTATCATACTCAATTTCATTGAGGGCTGCATCAGGGTTGTGTTTGTCCTCGGGAGGCCAGAGGGACGTGGCTGGGCTGGACGTGGCCAGCTCTACATCACTTGTGTTGAGGGCACCTGTGGTAGCCCAGGTGGGATTGGGGGATCTATTGTCTCCAGCAGAGGAAAGCTAGACCAGGGAGAGCGCTCAAACCTTGTCCTTCAGAGGAGCCTCGCTGTCTGCTAGTGGCCAAGTGCTAAGGCAGGACTTCCCTCCCTCCCTCCCTCCCTCCCTTCCTTCCTTCCTTCCTTCCTTCCTTCCTTCCTTCCTTCCTTCCTTCCTTCCTTCCTTTTCTTCTTTTTCCTTTCCTCTTCATTCTTCTTTCTTCTTCCTTCCCCTCCTGCCTTCTTTTTCCTTCCTTGCTGTTTTCCCATCTTTCCTTCTTTTTCTTCATATTTCTCTTTCCCTTTCTTGTCCCTTCTTGGATGCTCAAATGCAAAAGGGGAACATTTCTCCTTTTGTTTTATTTTGGTTTTAGTTTGTTTTGTTAGCCCTCTGACATCAAAAACAATGCCCCAGAGGCCGTGTGCTCCTCCCAGGTCCCATTTTCAGCCTGGTCAGCTTCCTGAAGCCTTCTGCCAGCCCTGTTTTCATCCTGCAAGGCCTCCTGATACCCTCTGCCAGTGAAAACGGAGCTCAAAGAGGCTGCATGCAGTCTTCTTGGCCCCATTTTTGGCCTGGATGGCTTCCTGAAGCTCTCTGTCAGTGAAAACTGAGCCTGGGGAGGCACATGTGCTCCCCCAGGCTCTGTTTTCACTGGAAAGAGGCTGCAGGAGGCTGTCCAGGCCAAAAATGGGGCCTGGGAGAGCTGTATGCAGACCTCCTAAGCTTCATTTTTACTGGCAGAGGTACCATGGGCCAGTTCTTTGCTGTTTCCATGGTTGCCCGCTGGCCTTGAGTTTGACACCCCTGAATTAGATGGTGAACATCAGGTAGTGAACACTGTAACCTTATGCACAATTATTTGGAAACACAACGAATGTTCTTCTGCATGAATTAGATATATTCAAATGGATGCATAATGTTGCAAGGAGCTATGTATTTGGGGAAAAGGAAAACAATCCCATTTATTAACTTAGATGAAAATAACCAGGGAAGAAATAGGAAAGGATATGGCGACTGTAAAGATATATTGCAGAGTCTGAGAAATTCCTTAGATGTCTCTAAGTTTGGCCATTGGGTTAAGAAACCTAAGAGTTCCCATTGAAGGGAATTCAGGATAAAGTATTGTACGCATCAATAGTTTTTAATTACTGTTTGGACAGAGTCAGAAAAGGATGGCCTGAAATCTGCATTTAAAAATCCACAAGACATATGTAATCTGATTAATCAGACCCACTTTCAAACAACTTCTAATAGCTTAGCACTTTCTCCAGGCTTTGGTTTGGGATATTTGATGGGCTGCTTTAGGTTAATGACGATGTAAGGAGTATTATTATTAGCTTATTCTCTTGAGGAGATTTTTCCTCTATTTCCCTTTTTTTTTTCTTATGCTTTTAAATTTGTGATGCTACTAAGAGTTGTTTTGGAATTGGGTGGGCTACAAATTTGACAGATTAAAAACATGAATAAATAAACTAACGCTTGTCTCTTTTTCTTCTAGGGATTATTGTAAATGGATTGATAAATGTCAGCATTTCTACAATTGAGAAACGTTATGATTTGAGCAGTTCCCTCACTGGCGTAATCTCTGCTGGTTATGACATTTCATTCTCTGTACTATGCCTTTTTATATCGTTCTATGGTGAAAGAGGTCACAAACCAAGATGGCTGGCTTTGTCCTCTTTTCTGATTGCTGTAGGAGCATTAGTATTTTCTTTGCCACATTTTACTTCTGGTCCATACACATATGGAGAAAAAGCAGAAGGTAAGTTCATATATCTTAAGCCGGTCATTATTTCTTTTATTGTTGCTCTATAGACCTAGTTCAAAAATATATACCCAGGATGTATTTATGGAATCAATACAAGTATTTTTTTCCTCTCTGTTGCTTATTGGGAATTGACAACACACTCTTGGAATGGATCTCAGTACAACAAATAGAATTAGCTTTCTCTCCCTCAGTGGAAGAGTGGATGGTAAGGTGATGGAGTTAGAGATGGTAAAGTCTGTTTAATTAAAATTTCATCATCTCTAACTCCATCACCTTACCATGGAAGGAAGGGGAAAAAAGTTCTAATTTTGTTTCTACTTGGAAACAGCTTTTGAAGTTTTGTTCAAAACTGAAAAAAATGAGACTTTGATTTTAGGGTTTGATGATTAAGAATATTTTGTAATTATAAAAATGGCTTGAAATGTTGTGAAATGTAAAGTAATTCAAATGATGTTGAATTATTTTCATATTCTACTGCACTGAAGAAAACCAGAAGTCATTATTTTTTTCTTCTCTCTTTGTACTTTTCTTCTTCTTTTCATATTTTTCTAACTTTCATTCCTATAATGAAACTAAATTTAAAAAAAAACATTACAAATGGAAACTTTTTCAAAGTAAAAAGGAAAGTAGCGGCCCCAATGATAGAACCATCAAATGTCTTTAATCAGAAGAAAAAGTTAATCTCAGCTGCTATCTTTACAAATAACTGCTCTTTCTAAAATACTACATGGACTAACAACTCCTATTCATTGTCTGATATGCTAAATCTCATTTGTAACTGGCTTTTAGGATGTCATTTATCTCCTTATTTTGAAGCCCAATGTTAGCTGCACAGTTGTCTTCAGTGGAAAGCTTCCATGTCTATGTGATGACTTCCAGGTGAACTGTAACCTTGCACTATTTAGGATCCCATTTTCTGTGTACATAAAAATTCCCTTCAGCTGCAAACATGGACAACCAAAAGTTATCAATTCATATTGTTGTAAAAATGACCAGCCCCCTCTTGGGCAGCCTATTATGTTGAGTTGAGTAAAGAAAATATAAGAGAATGTGCTAGAGAAAAGAGAAAAAAGGTGGATATTAAAGAAAAATGAACTATTGAAACAATGGTGACTTTGATTTTTACTAGGTCAATTGCTTGCTTAAATCCATCCACTATTGATGCATAGATGCAGCTGATTATTTCCAAAATCATACAGCTCTAATGTGTAGATTACTATTAGTTGAAGAGCTGCAAGATATTTCAACTTCATTCTAAAGTTAATGCTCCATTCCTCTGATATCTAGATGGGCCTGGCTCTATAAGCATGAACGGCTATCAAAAGAATAACTTTTTGTCCACTTTTGTTATTCCATATACAACATATGGCTCCAGTTCTAATTACAGACTAAAATACTACAATGGATAATGATACTACATCCCACTTTTCCTATGAAAAGCAATTAAGAATGGTAACTCCATTAAATGCTTTAGATAGATACTAGCCAAGTTACTCAAAACCATTGTTGCAAATGTGTTTAGAGGAGTGAAGTAATTAGCCATTTTTCTTAAAGAACTGTCACACTGCATATTACACATACAGTATTAATCATTAAATAAAGTCTCAATGAGTACGAGAGGGTTGTTTTTTTTTTGTTTCATCAAGGGGTACAGCTTTAAAGTGAAGCCCTGCGAGCAAAAAATGAGGGTTTTTGCGGGTTAAAAATTAATATTACCTGGAACAAGAGAATTTTTCTCTTCTTTTAAATCAAATGTTGTAATTCCTTTGGAGGTAATCCACCAAAATTTCTGCTGTTAAGTGAGTAATTTAAATGAGTTTTGCCCCATTTTATGAATTTTCTTGCCATAGTTGTTAAGTGAATCACTGCAGATGATAAGTTAGTAACCCGGTGAATCTGTGAAACTGGCTCCTGCTTTGATTTTGCTTGTCAAAAGTTCGCAAAAGGTGATCAACGTGGCCTTGGGACACAGCAACTGGCTCAGATGTAGGTCATAAATATAGATGCCAAGTGTCCAAATATTAATCACCTAATCCTTGGGATGCTGCCCTGGTTGTAAGTGTGAATTTTTCAGTGTTGTTGTAACTTTGAATGGTCACTAAATGAATTGTTGTAAGTCAAGGACTAGCTGTATTTTTCATTTCAGATATATTAATCATGATGATTCTCTATTCTCCATTTTCTTTAATGAGGCATGTTCTGAGGTTCATTTGCATGATAATTCCATAATTATTTTTCTTTAATTAGTTAAATTACATTAGAAATAAATAGCTTGTAGTTATAAGACTACATCTGCCTTTTTTTTTTTGCAGCCCAGTCTTTGTGGTTTGAATCAGTGATGGGATTCAAATTTTTTTACTACCGGTTCTGTGGGCGTGACTTGGTGGGTGTGGCAGGGGAAGGATACTGTAAAATCTCCAGTCAGATATGGTATTTGCTGGTTCTCTGAACTACTCAAAATTTCTGCTACCGGTTCTCCAGAACTGGTCAGAACCTGCTGAATACCACCTCTGGTTTTACTTTTTTACATTTTACTTTTATAAAAACCTTGCGTCTCAGTGTGTTCTCATTCCTGCACAAGAATTCAGCTACACTTCTGAGATTGTGTATTGTTCATTTATGAGGAACAATGACATCATGTAATTTTAGCATATTTATTATGATCAGCTTAGATTCAAGTCTGATCTGGCATAAACAAAGACCTTAGAATGGAACATGCTATTGCTTCGTAAAATGTCCATATGTTCAATTCTTTGTATATGTCAGTTTCCTCATACCAAGGACATAACTTTTGAATTTGACAGCCTTTGTTTTTTGTGAAATATAAAATGGTACAAAAATTAAGTACCATGAGCCACTGAATTAAGTCTCCCCAGTGGTTGCTGTCATCTGCCTAACATTATCCTACCGGTAGTAGCAGATTTGAAGAAACATTGCAGTGGTTTGAGTAATACAAGTAGTTGCCTAAATGGCCTCTTTTTGAAATGCAAGCCAAACTCTTGCATCCTGCTAATGAAATCTGGCTTGGCACACCTGATGCATCAGAAGGACCTCAGAAGAGGTTATCTGGGAACGTTATGCTGTAGAATCCAGTTGCTGAGCAATTCCTGAAAGGGCGGAACAGTTATTACCCAATGCCTTGTATTCTATTTGTTTGCAGTGAAACTGTCTTGAAGGGAAATAGCAGTTATGCAACGAAAATATATGTCTTCATTACTTTCCTCCTGAACCTGAAGATGTGGTTAACACACTGTCACTGCTGATTTGGAAAAAAAAGCCACTGAAGGTGTTTTAAAAATAATTTAAAAAAATTATCTAAAGTGCTTCATTCAATTTTCTTCTCAAAAGGAAGTGGCAAATGAGAAGAAAATGAAAGAAACTAGACTTGAGGAAATCTTGAAATTTTGAGAGGGAGGTTTATTGAAAAATGGCTTCTGTTGAGGATGCTGATTAGAAATGTTAAAAAATACCTGCCTTGAGTCTTACTTATTCAGCTTAATAAATAGGTTACCATGCATGCATGTGAACACACGCACGCTCGCACGCACGCACACACACACAAAGAGACACCAACACCTGTTTACATCTATACAGTGAGACACCAACACCTGTTTACATCTGAGCCAGTACTTCTCTGAGGTGTTATAATTCAACAATATCCTCCATTTTGGAGAACTTACGTAGCTTCCTTCCTTCCTCCATACCTCAAACTACAGCAAAACTAAAACATCGTGTACAGTTCAGAGAAACAAAACTGCTGAACATAGAGGCAGTAGGCCTTGAATAGAATGTAAATCCCCACCACAAGACTCCTGCACATGCCTTGTATGTAAAGAAACTTTACAGAAGAATGAAGATTCCATCAAATGTTCCCTATGTGACAACTACGCTCACCACGACTGCTCGGGATTACCCAAGCAATGGCTCAATTCCTAGAATCACCCAACCATGGATTTCCATATTTCTGTACACCATGCAGACCCAAACTGAACAAATATATTGCCCTGTTCGAAAGAGTTGATACCTTAGAAACACGAATAACATCCCTTGACACCATTGTAGAATCCCTGGACACTATAAAAACAAGATTAACTAACCTTGAAAAAAAAGACACAACACAAAAAAATGAACATTCAATAGCTGCAAACCACATCTTTATGCAATAACCGCAACCACAACCCAATCCACAAAAACCACAAATCCAACAAATAATGATATTCCAATCCTCATCAGAGAATCTGTCGAGCACGAACGGAAGCGTTCAAACACCATCTTATTTGGTCTAGAGGACATCAATGATAATGATGACATCACAATTGTCCACAACATCATCAGTGACTATCAAACATCAACCATCTCCCCTGATGAAATACTTGACATTTCCTGCACCGGCCCAGAGTTCAAAAACAGAGACGGCTCAGTGGCCCCACGCTTCTGCAGGGTCATTGGCAAAAATGAATCAAGCAAACGTAAATTCATTTATACTATAAATTCACTCACCAAAAGCAACACCAACCATAAGAACCTCCATTCTTGCCCTGACTTAACCTTACAGCAATGTGTCCACTCCTGTGAACTCCACACAGAACTCAAAAAAGGTCTAGACAATGGAGAGAAGGACCTGTACATGGACAGCCATGCTGATTGTATCAAAAGTAAGTCACACAACCCACAACTCCGCATCCAACCCTTTTTCAATCAATCCACCATCACCCTAAATTAGGCATGCATGCCCCTAACTACCTCAATTCCAACTACAACTGGCCTTAAATGCAAGCTACTCAATACAAGAAGCCTTGTAAATAAAATACCTGAATTTCTCCTCTTACTAAATATGGCTAAATTTGACATAATATTTGTCTGTGAAACATGGCTCAATACATCTCTCCCAGACTCCATTACCACAGTAAGAGACTGTCATGTTTACCGATCACGAAATCCATAGAGGAGGTGGTGTTGCTATCTTGTATAAAAAGTCCCCACATCAAAAAAAT